CAGGAGTGTTGATCTGCTTGAGGGTGGGATGGTTCTACAGAAGGATCTGGACAGCCTGTTCCTGCTACTCAGATGAACGAAGCAGAAGCATGGCTTGAACCTCAGCCTCTCACAGCTCAGCTAAGTCTCATAGCCACTGACCTGTGGCCTGTCTGGGGAGGGCAAACCTGGAATATGAGTTTGTCCAGGTGTGAGACCAGAAAATCTCTGTGACTGTAGAAATGTGCAGAGCAGAAAAATCTTATTCCCCAGATGGTGCTTGGTCTTTAGGCTGCGGGTACTAGTGGGATGCATCCCTTCAAAGAGAGGTTTCTCAGATCACAAAAAGTCACGATTCATCTTTGCTTGTTGTTTTTCTCTATTGGTTAATCTGTTTTTTTACTGTTGTTCATAGATCTACATGAGTCCTGAAGTTATCCTCTGCAGAGGCCACACAACAAAAGTGGACATCTACAGCATGGGAGCTACTATTATTCATATGCAAACCGGCATCCCGCCCTGGGTGAACAGATATCCTCGTTCTGCATATCCATCCTACCTCTATATTGTAAGTGTCCTTAGCAAAACCGTAGCTCAGTTTTAGTTGACGAGTTTCCTGTAGTCTTGTTGAGAGAACTCCAGTCATATTAAAACTATCAAAATATTTGTCAGAGAGATGATATCATCCTTTTTGCTTCGAGGGAGGGAGGGAAGAAGTGGGTTTTGATCATTTAGGGGAAGACAGGGGCTAAGCTGGAGTCATCTCTGTGGTTTGTGTTACAATTTACAGGCCTTGGGTTTACTGCAAGGACAGGTTTAGAACAGTGTGAAACTTGATTGAGACAAGCCCATCTGGGTTCTACTTGTCTGTTTTGCTTAGAAGTTGCAGATAAAAATTGGAGCCTGGCATATTTGATTCTCTGTTTCTTCCAGTGTGGTACAGATTTCTGGTGAATTTGCATTGCACTGGATTTTAGGTTTGCTTGGAGTTGCTTTGAGTTTTTAAATTTATGAAAAAATCTAATTTTAAAAAAAGTGGATTTTGTGCATTATGTGTTCTGTTCTAATTGATCAGTGCAGTTTAGGGAGGTGATGAATTGTAAGTGGGGAATTCCCAGACCACTTGTGTGGTTATTTGTGACTTCCTCTTCCATTATTTTTGGAATAACTGTTTCAATGGTCTTTTATTCCAACAGATACATAAGCAAGCTCCCCCCTTAGAGGACATTGCTGAAGACTGCAGCACTTCCATGAGAGAGTTGCTAGAAGCAGCTCTAGAAAGGAATCCTAATCACAGACTGTCTGCAGCAGACTTACTGAAACATGAAGCTTTACACCCACCCCCAGAAGAGCAGCCACGGTGCCAGAGTCTGGACTCAGCATTGTTTGAAAGGAAAAGACTACTCGCAAGGAAGGAGCTGCAGTTGCCAGAAAACATTACAGGTGATGGTATCCGCCTTACTTACCTTGCACTTTGTCGATTTTACTTTGTGTCAAAACTTCATTTGAGTGAGTGTTTAGAAACAAATGAAACTCAAAAAGCTTCTGGAAAGAGACCAGTAAAAATCCCAATCAGGTGAGATCAGACCCAGAGCTGATTAAGTGTTATGTAAAACGCCCATTGACTTCAACTGGGGAAGAACAGCCTGAATTCTGCAGGTCCGGAAAGGCTGGCTCATGAAAAAGCCCTGGCATCATGCAGGGCACTTTGTGAAGTATAGGTTGCTGCCCCAAATTGCCTTAATTTGCCATAGTACTAGAGGTGTTTTATTGATACTAGTGATCTATTAACAACAACAACAAAACAAAGAAGTCCAACCACCACCACCAAATCCAACACTTTTTGCCTCCTTAAAGAAAAAGACACACAAAATCTTGCTGAGTGTCACGAGTACAAGCCCTCTGTTTTAAAGACAAAAATGACTGTAGGATAGAACACAGGTCCCCTTGTGCATTAGTAAGTGCTTTATGAAGGATAATGCACGAATCAGATAATATCAAGGCCGAGGGAGATTTAGTGCCAGCAACCTGCAAAATGCTTTTCTTCTGTTTATAAAATATGTTAGGAGAGTCCTGACAAAAGGCATTTAAAAACTGACCCCAGACAAGTGGGTTATTTGATTGTGATAAATATTTGGAAAGGTATCTGTGCAAAGTTTTGGGTGCTGTAATGCGTAATTGTTGCAACAAATCCACTTAACATTTAAATCAATCACAGCCTTTGCATCTAGAATGGCATTGCTCCTCTGGATTTTGCCTTATGGGTGCATAATCCTTTGACCTGCTCAGGCTATCTGAATCAGTTCTTTTGAAGATGAAAAAATATTTGACTGGAACTAGATTTGACTGAATTAAACTGGAACTTTAGTTTAGATGCTTGAGATTCCAGGACATTCATTATACAAGTATTCAGGGGAGTTCTGCCATTGCAAACCCAGTCTGATTTCTTCAGACCTTGATTTAAAAGAAAAAAAAATCTGAAACTGATGGTCCCGTATTTGTTCTGAACTATCACACCCAGCGACACGAAGAGGATGTCATCTGTTTAGATGAAAATTGCCCAGTAATGAAGGGGAATTCTCAGCTGACAGAAAGCTAGCAGGTTTTTTTTTTTTTCTTGCACCAAACTCTGCTTTAGCACTATGACTCAGAGGATGAGGAATCTCTGCCTAGCTGTCCCAGCTGATAGAGTTTTGGTTTTTAAATAGTTGAACACACTTACTGTTTTCAGTAGCAAACTCTTTACCTTTCTTTGCCCTAGAGCTGGGGATTGATTTATTATCTTTTATTTTATTTCATATGAGGATTATGTTATGTTGTCCTTAAAAATGAAGATTTCTAAACCACAGATAAAAGCAAATATTAGGCCAATTATTCAGTAATGTCTACAGCCATGAAACTGAACTAATGTAGCTATTTGTGCAATAATGATATGCTTTGTCTCTTTCTTTTTTAGATTCCTCATTGTGTACTGGGAGCATGGAAGAGTCGGACCTGCTAAAGAGGCAAAGATCACTCTACATAGATCTTGGAGCTCTAGCTGGTTACTTCAATATTGTTAGGGGACCACCAGCCTTAGAGTACGACTAACTCAGTAACGTTTTATGTTGGCAGGTCAGAAATGGACCTCTACCTCTTAAAACTTGATTTTAAGACTTAATTTTCAAATTTGTACATAAAAATATTGCCATTATAGACTGTCAAATGTGAATAGTGTTTAATTACACAGATGATTAAGCTAAACCCTTAGGGGCTCTGATAAGCTGATCCCAAGCAATGATATTTGTGTGTCTGCTGGTTGACCAACAAGAAGATGCAAAAAGAACACTGCTGGGAATGTCTTAATCCAGGATATCTTCCTGTGCTGGGCCTTGCACTTTTATAAAACTTATAATATATGCTTGCTAATACTGCCATGAAAAAAAAAAAAATTATTGAGCATGTGGGCTGTAAGATTCAGTCTCTCTGAGCTGTTCTTAGAGAAAACCTTCCAAAAAAAAAAAAAAGTCCTTGTTTGAACCAGTCAAAGACTTGTTCAGTCTTGTTCTGGCTTTGAGGCTTGGCCAGTCTCTGGTCATTCTTAATGGAAATCAGGGCCTCCTTTAAGCTGAGCTAATTTCTATCAGCTATCTCTGGAGCCAAAGCATCACTTGGTTAGGTGTGTTTTAACTTTGCATCTTACCTGGGCTGTCGGAGCTAAGCAGGGCACTGTCCACCTTCTCTGTGGGTGGAGGGAATCCTTCACTGGTTGTATAGGATAGCTTTGGGAATAGCTCAGCAAGCTGGCCCTGATGAAGCACGACAGCAACTCCACCTGCTTCCTATGTTACAGCTACCGCAAGGATATCTTGGGTAGTTTTCAAGGGTAGGTCAAAAGTTATTTCCTACTGATAACAGTGGGCAGGCTGCAGACTCTTGCTTTTTAATACTTTAAAATTGTATATGTGTATAATTGCCGTGAATGCTATGGTTTGGAAAGCATGTCATTAGTGACAAGCTGTGTTTATGTTCCTATGGAAATGGAATTATATTGTTCTTGCTGTGCCTCGTACATTTGAAACATGATGTTTTGGATGATAGTAAAACTATGTAAACTGCATAGTTCTGTACATCCCATGGGATGAGAACGTAAACTTTTATAAAACTCTCTTTTATGCTTAGGATGACTCTTTATAAGCATTTGTGTTAAAATGGCATACTATGTATGTTGTACACTGAATCTTTTCTGAAGCACAGTCTCTTTTTCATACGTCTTTTATTTAATGCTGCTCCTATCTAACCCGTGATCTTAAACAGATGATTTCTAGTTTGATACTGGTATGGTCAAATTAATAAAACCAGCTCAGTGCCTTGAGATGTGGTCACTCTGTTCTTTCATCTTTGAAAACAGCGTGGGGGCTGTGACTGTAATTGGGCCAACTTCCCCTACCACGGCCCAGGTACACTGCACGCATCATTCCACTTTTTGGGGAGCTGAGTCAAGGTCATTGTTGGTGGATTTTGGACTCTACTAAGAGACAATGAATGTTTCTGACAAAATTTCGTTCTCAGACCCCAACACTCCTGGACTGCCTGGATGTTGTGCAGCAGTTGTGCACAACATGCAGTGCTTCAGTCCTGATGTTAATTGCTGCAAAAAATCCTGCTGGGGATAACCCACCTGCTCCAGTACTTTGTGCAAAATCTCTAGACAACTAGCTGCTTTGAGGAGAGCTGTGTAGGGGAGCCCTTGTCACGTTTATACTGGCTGCAGTGATCAGGATATTTGGGGATCAGACTTTCAGTGTTGTTGGCTTAAAGAAAACATGACCTAATGGTTTGGATGCTCACCTTTGCCTTGAGAGACCTGGGTTCAATTTTCTGATCTTTTGCTGATGGCTTTTGATCTTTAATGAGATTCATAGAATTAGTAGGAAGCAGCTTTTCAGGTAACTGGAGGTGGGTTTAAAATCTCTTCCCCAGTTTCCCTTCTATAAAATTAAGGTGTTTATCCTCACCAAATAGTAGCTAGATGTTATGCAAATGCTTATCAAGTGCCTAGATACTTCAATAATGAGATCCATGTCAGAATTACAGGCTGCTAGAGGGCTTTTACAATTGCTTGAAAAATGTTACACTGATTTTTCTTCTTTTATTTTTTTATTTAACACCCTCCTCCTCTCCCCCACCCAGCTAAATGATTTAGCATGGAAATCTGCATATGAGGACAGGCTCACTATTTAATATTTGTTCTTAGTATATGACTGTTATATATTTTGACACTATGCAAGTAATAAGTGACCAGGTTATCCAAAGTAATTATAGTTTATGTATTGCCATACATAGGTGTTAAGGTTTGGCTGAGTGAACCAGTAGCTGTGTATAGGAACATCCACAGGTCTAAACAGTATGAGGCTTGATGATAAATACCAATTCAGAGGTCTGGTACACAATCAACAAGTAGCTGTTCAGGTACACTGAACACCAAGCGTTGCTAATGGCTCTGTGAGCTTTCTAATAGCTGAGGACTACTTTTCAGGTAAGCCTCAGACTGCAGCTAACCAGGGATTTCTCTCCGGAGCAATACATCATATCCCAAGCATATCACATCCCTCAAGCGTATCCCACAGTGGTTGATCCCTGCATTGTGTAGGTTTACCTCTTTGTGCCACCACCTGGGGAACAAGGTCAGGGAAATGAACTGGGTTAGAAATAACCCGGGAGGGGGGAAGATTGTTTCTCTAATCTGGTTGCCTGAGCAGCTGTGTACTTGGAGCCGTAAAAACTGGAGGTGAGGGGGAGGGAAAGAAAAGGGATGGTGGGGAAAACCCTGCCAGCACAAGCCCCGTGGGGATGGCTGCTCTGCACTGAGCTGTGGGATTTCGCGAATGTTTTGCCTCTATTTGTGTTGCTTTCTGGTGTGTGGTTTCGTTTTCTCTTGGGGGAATACTGAGACTCATGCTAACAGCAAAGGACAATCAAGTGTGTGGAGAAACACACTGCTCGCAGTAACTGATGAAATTAGGGAGCCAGAGGAGCCTTTTCTCCTCCTGGGCTGAGCAGGTTTCTTGTCCTCAGATCAGCCTGTGACCCTTGGACTGGGCCCACAACTGTGCTCCTCTGCAGGGCTTCCTGATGTGAGCAGCCTACAGCGGCTTTGGAGAGCAAGTGCTGGGTCCTGCACTTGGGTCAC